CTAATGAGTTAGTAGGTGATGTGTGGACTTAACCCAGAAGCACAGGTGTGGAGCTTAGACATCCAAGTGACACACCTCTATGAACACACCAGAGTGGGTTGCAGGACTAGTTTTACTTTGAGTGTGTGTCTCTCTCTCCTCTCTTCTTCCTCCCTCTTTCTACCCCCTCCCTCCCTTCTTTCTCAATAGGTTTTCAGTATATAGCCCTGACTAGTCTGGAATTCCCTATGTGACCAGGCTGGCCTTAAACTCATAGTGATCCACCTGCCTCCATCTCTGGAGTACTGGAATCAAAGGTTAGCACCACCATGCCTAGGCTCAGTTTTAATCTTTTCTTAAGACTATATGAAGAACCTTCATGCTACTTGATTTTTAATCAAGTGTGTATAATACTTTGATTAAAAGTAAAAAAAATTAACATGAGCACCACTTATACTATAGTACTAATATGTTACCAAGGTTAGATTATTTATTGTGCATAATATAATATGTGGTATATAGAAACAATTTTAGTTATGTATTCATATATGTCTAATATATATATATATATATATATATATATATATATATATAGTTTTGATTCTCCTTAACCTGGGCTGGCTGGCCTTTTGATCCCTTTGCTTCCACCTCCTAAATTATAATGAGATTTTCTAGAAAGAGAATTTGCTCTGGCCCTCACTAAAAATCTCAGCCTAGACATCTCCAGAGGATGGAGTAGAAAAGAAACATTATTTCGATATGCAGGGGGGGCTGGTGAAGCTGTGGGGTGTAGGGGCATGGGTCCCAAACTCCCCAGCATTGGCTTTAGAAAAAAGTTGAGGCTTTGTGACATTTGAACCCAAGTTGCTACTCCTGACCCATAGCCACTGACTCTTACCCTTCAAAAAGTTAACAGATTTCTTGTCCTTAGGACAACCTCTGGGCCTGACACTCCCCCAGAACTTGTTCAGATTGAGCTTTTTCCTGTCATTCTTTTTAGTTTTCCAAGACAGGGTTTCTCTGTTTAGCTTTGGAGCCTGTTCTGGAACTTACTTTGTAGACCAGGCTGGCCTTGAACTCTAGAGAACCTCCTGCCTCTGTCTCCCAAGTGCTGGGATTAAAGGCGTGCACCACCACCACCCCAAATTCCCAGTCATTCTTGATTCAGAGTGTTCATTTGCGTTCTCATTCAAGAGTTCTCTCCCTGACTGGTGCAGGGTCCTCTGGGAAACGATGTAGCAGTTTATGGTGCACCTTGTGTCCATTGTTAGTAGTGCTCAGCCCACTCATATGACCACTGCCAATTCTACAGATGAGGAGACTGAAGTTATAAATGGGGCTTGGGGAGTCTGCTGGACCCACAAGCGCCTTCAGTGGCCTCAGAGGGAGAAGGCTAGGGACAGGGAGTGCACAGGGCTGGGGCAAGATAGTCCTGGTTCCCTGAACCCTGGCCAGGGGTGACCTTCCAGGTAGCAGCTGGGAGATGGAGAGAGTCAAGCCCCTTCTTGGATTTGCAGCCACCAGCTTCAAGCATCTCCAGCATGTCTAAGCTCATCCAGTCTTTGCTGCTTGGCCTTGTTAGTTACCTGGCTCTCCCATGCTGGAGCCACAGGGCCTTAGTGACCTGTGACTGGTGACCAACAAATAGTTCTAAAAGGTTGTGAGACTTGCAGGGTCTCATAGTGTCTTTGTAGGTCAGTAAAGTGCTGTGGTTGTTGTGATCAGGTCAGCTGTCTAATTCTCTGGACAGACACACCTGGCATATGCACCAAGCTAGAGAAACTGGCTGTTGGCTATGTTGGCTCATGCTTGTGAAACAATCTGTCCCTGTTCCCCCAGCATGACCAACTGTGCTGAGAAGAGTGCAGGACTCAGTTGTGGAGGGCCCTCCCAGACCTCTTGTCAGATTCGCCTGCCTCCCTTCCACCCACCACCACCACCCCCCAGTCCCACCACCCAAAGAGCCCCTTCCTGATTGCTGCCTCCATTTGACCTACGAGACTGAACCCAAAATTTAAAATAAACCCAATCTAAAATCTTCAAAGTCCTCTTTTTTGTTAGCTCATTCTAATGTGACATGTTTCTTAAATCCACAAGTTGTTTTCAGATGAGTAAATTCTAGATTTATAAAATCCATCCATCCCCAGCTGTCTCATTCCTGGTAAAAAAAATCCAGTCTTTCCCTCGACCAAAATGGCCCCTGGTCTCACAGATCTCTCTCTTTGTGGGCTTTAGCAGTTTAGCCCACACAATCTGATGCAGTAGGCTGCAGCTCAGACAGGAATCTATAGTAAGCAGGCACAGCAGCTTAGGTGCCAGGTTCATCTGTGGACTACACTCTCAACACTGACCAGGGGGTCTCTCTCTGTCAATACATTCTTAACTTCTATTTTGTTACATTTATTTATTGTGTGGGAGGAAGAGAATGAAACTGTCTAGAATTCCCAAGCTACTTTGAGGTCTCTGAGCTCCTTGTATATACTGGTTGTATGGTACAAGTCTATAGATTTCCCAGATGACAGTGGCACAGCATATAAGCCTTGGTCCTTTCGTTTTCCTTTCTGCCTCTGTTGCCTATCTTGTTTCTATTTACTTTGAGATAGAGTCTCACTATATAGTCCTGGCTGGCCTAGAATTTTGTCTGTATCCCAGGCTGGCTTTGAATTTGTGGCAAGGATCCTGCCTCTGCCTCCCAAGTGCTGGTATTACAAGCATGCCCCCATGCCTAGACTGTTTTGTTCTGTTTTCTCCAGTCATAGGCTTTCTGCGTTGGGCTGACTGGAGGTGCAGCCCTCAGGCCTTTCTTCTTGAGATGACTGAGACTGTTTGCTTGTATATAGTGCTCTTCCTATCTTGCCAGAGTTCAGAAGCTATATTTGGGAAGACTAGTTCAGTCTGTTGATGTGCAACTTGGCAGTGGCCACCATGATTATTGCCACATAAAGAGTGTATTGCCAGACCTGTTGATGAATAGTTTTATATCTAAACTATGAAGGGTTTGGCAATTGATAGGCCTTACTCATTTGGAGAGGATTTTAGAGGATAAAGTCATTGTAGCCATAAGAGCAGAATATTAGTAGTAGTCATTAGCTTTTAAAAACAAGCTTACATCCCATTGTGAAGTCCAGCACATGTGAATAAGTGTCTGACTTGTATTAAAGAGCAGTATTCAAGGATGTGATTAGAATTTCGAAATGCCTTTTAATGTGTAGTTCTTGGCATTAAGCTGCCAATCTGAATATAACCCTGTAATCTGATATGCTATATGATGGACTTTGGTATAGTCTGATCCAAGACCCTGGGACTTTTCAAATGGTAGCAGAACAGACAGATACTGCATCATTTGATGTGTTTAGACTGGTGGCACACCTCTCAATGTTATTGTTGGCAACATATGGAGGTTGGAAGGTTCAAGACAACACGAGTCAGTGTGTGGGTGCTCTCAGAAAAGGGTCTCCCAGGATCAGGAAAGTATCCAGTTGTCGAACTTGCCTCCTGGTCCCTCTGGTCCTTTGTCTCCAGATGATGGAGTGGCATTAGTTCTGTAGGCCCCACTGGATGCTCTCAAGGCCTGGTCTAGCACCTGCACTAACAGCAAAGCAGGTCCATTTGGCTTCAGCACAGACAAATTTCAGTGTTGATTGGCACTGGGCAGGGCACTTCTGAAAAGTGCATGACGTCCTGGCTGAGGCCTGTGACAGACATAGCACTGCTGATGACATCTGCTATTTTAAGCAGACCTAAGTGGAGACCTTGCTCCTTAACTGTGCCTGGTGTTCCACACATCCTAGTTCTCAGTATTGTAAGGTAGGCTAGCCTCTCTCCCCGCTTGATTTTTTGAGACAGGGTTCCTCTTTGTAGCTATGACTGTCCTGGATCCCACTCCGAATACGAGGCTGGACTCCAACTCAAAGAGATCCATCTGCCTCTGCCTCCTGAGTGCTGGGATTAAAGGTGTGTGCCACCACTGCCCAGCTTTTCTTTCTTTTAGAACCAGGGTCTCTTAACCAAGACTTTCTCTGAAACAGGTCATGCATGACAAATTCACAAATCCAGCTATCCAGTGCTTGGAAGCCAGATTCTTGTTGGGAGGGGAGTCTAACCCACTGGTCTGGAGGCCAAACTTTGGAACCAGGCAGAACCTGGCTGAGTGCAAGTCTCCTGGTTTCCAAGTGTGACTTTCTTGAGTGTCTGTTTCACATGAAGAATCAGGGTCATGATCTGACTTACCTCACAGGATTATGGTGCCCTGTGGGTGGCCAGGCACATGGGGCTACTTCTCATAGAGGACCATCCTGGTACAAGTCAGCTTTTCATATGCTAGAGGACCAGATTTTTAGTTATGTGACATTATTTCTTAAGTTTATTTTCCCTTTGTCATTGGAACTTGGGTGACTCTTTATTATATTATTGGCTGTAGTTGGGGATCCCACCAACCTAGATTCTGAATCTGCCAGTAGCCCACTGCTGTGATTATTGCTTAGTTAACATTTTGTTGGTAGCCTGCTCTAGCCAGCGTTTAGGAAAAGATAACTCAACGCCTTGGTGAATTGGATTCAAACACTCATTGCCTGTGGCACCAAAAGAAGAGGGAAAGTTCTGAAAATGAGGTCAAGTAGGGCCACCATTCCAGCCCACAATGAATATTCACTGTGGAGACGGAATTCCCTAAGCTTGAACTCACATCTCCAGGTCTAAATGAATGGTTGGAGCAGCGTCCGGTATTCGGTATTCCTGTGGGTTCCAGCCCTGACTGTTCACATTCCTTAGACACCCACTTTAGGCTTAATCACAGTCGCTCCCCGGCTCCCCGAATAGAAAACGCTACCAGTATTGGTAACTCGGGAGGAATTTGCATTTCCACCGACCTTCCCCGACACGCGGCAGGGGCTGCGCCAGCACAGCAGGGCAGCTGGGGAGGGCGTGGAGCCGTTGCCTTCCCTTGGCCAGGAGTGGGTTAAGAGACGGGCGGGGCGGGGCGCAGGGCCCTTTGTTA